GTATCATCAAATATCATCATGTTGTTCAAAATTTTGATGGATTCTTATCCAAAATATAAGGTTGAGGTGGCACAATCTGATAAGCTTTTTTTGTTTTCGCATTTTTGCAAATTATTTGCATTATATATATATATATATATATATATATATATATATATTATATATATATATATATATATATATATATATATATATAGAGAGAGAGAGAGAGAGAGAGAGAGAGAGAGATAGGTTCAAATGTTTCTAGCAACTATTGTGTGCATGAATGCACCAATAGGAATTTAGGAATTAATTAATTAATTAAAAATTGTAATAAGGGTAATTATGTAACTTTAGCATGATAATTAAAATAAAATCCCTTAATTAAGGGAAATTACCATAAAAATCTCTTTAACCAACTATTTAACCCTAGCCTCTTATGCCGCCATAGACGATCATCTTCAACTTCGATCACACAAAAATATCGACACCAGGTAAGTTTGAGGAGGCCATTTGAGCAACCAAACCAGAAACTTCTAGCTCCATTTCAGAAGTCCTTCTTCGCAAATCGTACCTACCCCTTCCAGTCTTCGTCTTTATTACAGTAACAACCATGAGAGGCGGATTCGTGTGTTATTCTCGGCGGCTCCATCTCCAATCGAAGCTAGCTTTTATCTCCAATCAAAGACCTGCATCGATTGGGAATCTTGTTGCTAAAGATAACTTGGTAGAAATTGATGGTGAAGGAGATGATGGAGAAAAAGAGCTTCATGAGCTTTTGTTGCCTAACGTCAATGATCTCCCCCTCTCTCCTCCTTCTGCAATTGAATTCAATTTCGTCACTTACTTCGCTCCTGGTATGTAATTTCACCAACCAGTGCCTTTAATTTCTTTAATTTGATTCACGGTTCGTTCTCCTTCAGCCTTAGAAGTAACAACCTATGATTCTACAGAGTATAATCTAGTTTTATTTTCATATTCGAATTCAAGAGAAACTTTTTGATACATATAATTATTACTATTAAATTTGAAGTTAAAAGTTAGCTAATTAATCTGAATGCTCAAAATGTGTGTAAATTTGTAAGTTTTTACTATAAAATGCCAAATGTAGGTCAAGTTACTATTAGTATTATCCCTTTTCTAACATTGTTTTGGTTACATTCTTGTGTTTTTATAGATTTTATGAAGCTGGAGCATGATCAATATATATATCGCCATGCAAATGGGTATGAATCTTCAAAATAGATTATAAGATTTGAAGTATTGATTCATAAACTACAACCAACTGAAAGTTCTTTATACTTTATAACATTGACAGTTCCCCTTTCTTGTTTTCTGAATAAAGGTTATGTGTTATTGGATTAGCTTCTGGTCATGTGGCCTTTAAGGATGAAGGAGGAGTCACTTCCGTGGATTTCAATGTTGGAAAATCCAACAGAAGTGAGATCAAGGTCACAGGGAAGTGCAAAAGGGTACATCCATCATTCAACCTTTTCTTAAATTTACTATTCTGGTTTCTTTTTCCAGAATGCACAACATTTCGAGTCTAATACAGCCTTATGTAAAGTATGCACCAACAATGGGTTCTTTTGTTCGTAGGGTATATTCTTGATAATACAAATTCTTTAAGAATATTCAAAACCATTCTGCAAGAATAGTTTATTCTGTAAGAATATTATTGTTGTATTCTGATAGAATTGTAGTTAATTAGTTATATGTTTAATGTGCGGTTGTTACAAGTGTATCACTACAAAATATTTGGCAATGAATTTGTGATAGAAATGGCTTGAAGAATAGCTTGAAGACTTTATGGGAAAGAATCCTTGTATAAAAAATCATTCTCATGCAATACAATTCTGACAGAATGCCAATCTCACAAAATATCAATCTCATAAAATGCTAGCATATTTTGAAGTGGCTTAGAGGTCAAACATACACAAGACATCTAGAAACGAAACAAGAAAGTGAATGAGGATTCTTTCAAGAATGCCGATATTTTTTTGCAAGAGATTTCAAAAATGAATGTAGTTTATGTTCATAGTTGTATTCTTTAAGAATGAATGTAATTACTTATTCTCAGGCCCGGCCCAATACATGGGCGAGTTGGGCTTAGGCCCAGGGCATCAAACTAAGGGGGCATAAATTAAGTCCATTGAGTTATTGTATGTATATTATCTTTGGCCCAAAAAATTTAGTCCGAGAAGCCAAGAAGGCAGTCACGTCTTGCAAGAGCGGGACTTCTTGAACGCCAAATAAGTGAAATTGAAGAACCTTGAGAATTGGAATCGCCAAATCGGGAATCGCCCCAAGAAAAACGTTAAAGATTGAGAGATCGAGAAGCCCTCTACATCCGATTTCTACTCATTATTCTCATTCTATATCTCTCTAAACTTGTGTTGCACTTAATCCATCATCCAAAATTCTCAATAATCTCATAGTAATGCGATTTCAGATTTGCAAGTTGGAGTTCGATCTATGATTGTTTGATTTTCTTAACCAGTTAAGTGTTAACCTGAAGCAAAACTGGCAACGAAAGTGGAAATCCAAAAAGGTATTATTGGATTTTTTGACCTGATTTCTCTTGAACTGATTTCGATGAGTTTTATTTTTCTTAGTCTTTTTCTAATTTGTTTCTAAGCCTGTTGCCATCAATCTTCACCTCTTAATCTGTTTTTGTGGACCTTGGTTTGTGTTGTGTAAGGAGTTTGATTTTTACCTATTTGATTTCATTTATAGTAGATATCTCGATTTCTGATTTCTTTTCAACTGATTTGGTTCGGTTTGATTTGTATTAATATGATTTTAATTTCTCTTATGCCTGCAGCTAGGGTCTGATTTCTGACTTTTGTGGTTTTTTTTCAGGAGTGTGGTTTGTATATGTTGGAGTTTGATTACAGTAGAATAAACCTGGGAGTTTGATCAACTTTAAAGGTTCGATTTCTCATTTGTTTGTGTTCGAAATTTGTTGGTTTATGTTTGATTAGTGAGATATGCTTCAGGTAAGACTTTGACTTTCTGAGGTTTGCTTTAGTTACAATTTCTATTGATTTTGATTTTACTTTCTGTTTGAGCTTGAAATCTGCTTCCATGAATCTATCTTTTATTAATATGATTTTTGTGGTTTGTTTTAGGAGTTGGATTTTTTATTTTTTGCATGTTGGAGTTTGATTACCCAAAAAAAGTGTCTTTCTCCTTTGCTTGAGCTTGGATTTCTCCCCTGTTTAAGCTCGAAATCTTGTATCTGATATTTGTGGTTTGTTTCAGGTAAATTTCTTACTACTGTGGTTTGCTTCTGCTATAAATTTCTAAAGTTCATTTCTTAACTTTTTTGTTCTTGTTTCTCGTTTCTGTGATGTGAATCAAGAGGCTGATTAAACTTCTGATTTTTGTATTTGGTTTTTTGTTGGATGCTTCCAAATTAGTTATTTTAGTTGATGATGAACTAAAAAACATTGTTTAAATCTTGTGTCCAATTTTACAAATGGTTAAGAATATGATTTTGAATGAATTGGTTTATTTATTGAATTACAAATTTTGCCACAAAACATACAAAGGTGAAAGTCCTTTGACATATATTTAATAAATGGAGTATGCAAGAAAAATAGATCAGTTCCTCAATGTGTTGGTCGCATATAAGATATATTTGATGGTGTTGTTTTAGGTGATTTTTGTAGGTTTTTGTATGTATTCTTTGTTTGATTATAAAATTTATTGCACTTTTGATTTTTCATTTTTTTTATATATAAGGGCATAAAATTCGTAACTCGCCCCGGGTAGTAAAAAACAATGGACCGGCCCTGCTTATTCTAAACTATTAAACTTCGTCTTATATAGAATTTGTATTCATTAAAAATTATTGGTCTTGATAATACGTGTTTATAATATTATGTTCATAGTTGTATACCATTCTGACAGAATTACAGAATATTATTCTAACAAAATAACATTCTGATAGAATAAAATCGGTTTATGTTTACAAATTACGTTTGAAATTGAATTAATTTGAAAAAAAATCAGATTTTTTAAATCAAAATCATTAATTAACCCATAAATCTCGATTTTTCTTTTTTTAAATTTGTCTCAATTGACTAAAATGCCCTTATGCTGAAATTTGTGTGATTATATGGTACATGTTACCCTATTGTACTATCATAGATCCTCAGATCATGACCTTTGATTCTATTCCATCCGATGGTCCAGATCTGTGCATTCTGGCACACAATAATTAGTAGAAACAAAATAACCTAAGCATATATATATATATATATATATATATATATATATATATATATTATATATATATATATATATATATATATATATATATATATTCGTGGGTCAGAAAATCCCACTCCTGAACCTCCACAAGTGACGAGTATCTCCTAGCTTGTCTTCCTTTTCTTTAACTTTAGATGTCAATGACGACGCAACTTAGACCTTTACGGGCGAAAAAAACGAAATTGAAAAGAAAAAAAAAATCATCAAATAGCATCAACAATTAGCACCACTAAAGAAAGGAAAAAACAAATTAAGAACAGCTAAAGAAGGATTTGTGCAGTAGCAACATTTTTTGGATATTCAAGGTAAAAATATAATAAAAAAAGAAATCGGAAAACAAGATAAGATGTGAACTCAATACTTGATCCAAACATTCAACATATGTTCAGGCTAACAAGCATGAATTTTAGCAAAAAATAAAAAAAGCAAAAATACCAACAAACTTCTACATCTTTATCTTTTGGACAATATTTTATAACATTGGAGGATCTAGATCATATACAGGTTAATTGTGTGTTTTACTGAGATATTTATATTTGCATTGTAAGATATATCAGTTATAAGTTTTTATAATATATGTTAGCACATTACTTTTTTCAAAAGTTATTCAAAATCCCAAATAAATTCGAAACATAAAGATTAAATTTTATTTATGTTTAGTTAATATCAATTTAATATAATATGATATTACAACTAATAACTATTACATCTAAAATATAATTATTAGAAATGTATAAATATAATATTTAAACGAATCATATTCAACATACAACTTCCATGAGTCATCATCTCTCTCATTCGAGTATATAACTCCAACAATAATAATATAGAATCACATCAACTAAATCTAAAATCTAAAATCTACAAAAATGATCTACTTCAAATGATATCATATGATATAAATTAGCCATTTAACCGAGTCGTTTCCTTCTCGTTTAAACCATTGTTCGGACTACTATGAGATGCAACCCGCAAGCCTACACTTTCCTGAAACACATTACCAAAATGTGAACAAATCTTTTCCAAATATACCCTTTTAGAAAATAAAATTTGAACAATTATAAATTTTCAAATATTGTTATATCTACTAATAAAATGACATACATTGATGAGTGATTCCCCTTGGGACTCAAGCATGTGTACTACATGCCCTATTTTTGGCCTCTTTTCGGAATTTTGATCAACACAACGTAAAGCCACCGCCAAAGTCCGTTTTAGGACACGTAAAGAGGGCGTTTCGGTCATTTTAGGATCCAAAACTTTTTCGGGGCACCTCTCGTTGACCATTTTCTTGACCCACTCAACCAAGTGTACCTGAGAATATGATTTAATCTGGTAAACTATAAACAACGCTATAAACTATAAAAAAATAAGAGAAAAGATTTTTTCCCATTAAGTCCTAATTTTCTTTATTACTCCTTATTGTATTAAAGTAAAAAATAAACAATACAGTTTGAATGAGACTAAATGCCCATTTTACCCTTCCATTCTAAAAATAAATTTCACAATATTCATTGAGAGGAAAAAGAGGAAACGAAATAAGTACAGGGTTAGCTCGTTAAGTCATTATATCCAGATTAAGTAAAAAAAACAACAATGTATAGTCGTTTGATTAAGTGCTTAATCGATTAAGCTCGTTTTATAAAAAAGAAACAACATTTTCTTATGAGTAATGGAAAACAAACCTCTTCTTGTGGTCGTTTATATTCAACAGGATATCTCGCCGAAATCAACTCCATGAACAAAATCCCAAAACCATAAACATCACTTTTCTCATTCACCATTCCTGTACTCGCATATTCTGGCGCAACATATCTACAAAAACAAAAAATAAACAATAATATCATATCATTGTTACTGTGTGTATGTGTGTGTATACACGTGTGAGAAAAAAGAAAGATTTCGAACCCTAATGTGCCCATGACACGTGTGGTAATGTAGCTCCTATCTGCACCAAGAAGCTTCGCTAATCCAAAATCTGAAACCTTCGGATTCCATGATTTATCAAGTAAGATGTTACTTGATTTTATATCGCGATGAACTACCTTCGGTTCTAGCCCCTCATGAAGATAAGTTAACCTATAATCAAGAAAGATGATGTGATTGAAGTGTATGAAAGAAGAGATTTGTAGGGGAAATGGGTTATTACGCTTTTGCTGTTCCGATTATGATTTTCATACGAATTTCCCAAGTGAGAGGACTGCAAGATCCCACATCGCCATGAATCCATTGCTCTAAGTTCCCGTTATTTACATACTCGTAAACAAGAATCCTGTGATTCCCAATCGAGAATTGAATTAAAATCAATGAAGAATTTAAAATTAAGCAAAAGGGTTAAAGGAAACGAGTACCTATGTGCCCCTTCTGCGCAATAACCTAATAATCTCAACAAATTTTTATGCCTAACTCTACCAATTGCTTCAACTTCAACTTCGAATTCCTTCTCAGCTTGTCCTCTAGATGTAAAACATCATAAAATCGATAGGTGTGAAATGAGAGGATGAAAGATTATGAATTGAGTTGGAGGAAGAAATTAGAAAATCACCGATTATTGAGCAAATTCTTGATAGCGATTTGAGATTTATCAGCAAGAACACCATGGTAAACAATGCCGTAACCACCTTGACCAATCACATTCTCAGCTGCAAATCCATCAGTAGCTGATTCAAGCTCTCTCAGTGTATACCAATGCCCCCATCCCAAATGCGAAACCTCCGGACCTACAGACGCCGGATGTTCGCCGGTAACCGGCGACACAGCCCCAAATCTCTCGGGGTACAAAACCCTATGTGGGTGTCCCTTCCCCATTTCGATTTGAATCCTGGGGTGCGCTGTATGTCCGTAATCTTCGTCTTGTTTTAATAGCAATGCTTGTTTTTCTATACCGGATAACCTTTGGGTTTCCTGAAAGGGGTTTACGGGTGGAATTGAATTTGGATCGGAGGTGATTTTTTGGGGGTTTATTGGGATTGCTTTGGTTTTGGATCTGTTGGTGAACCAGAGGGATAGGAGGAAGAGAAGAAGGACGACGGCGGTGCCGGCGGAGACACCGAGTACGATCCATAAGTGAAGTCCGAAGATTGAGGTTTGTTTGGAGAGCTGATCGGACATGAATTTGGAGATTTAGGAAGTCTGAAAGAGTGAAAATGGCGGATGACATTATTTATATGTGAATATGAACCCAGAGGTTTTGATCGATGGCGAAGGGTTTGATGCGTAAAAGGAAGTCGAATAAGTTCATCGGAAGCTTCCAAATGATCGTTATGGACCCATTTGCCAATTTTTTTTTTTTTTACTGTTTTAAAAGATTTTTTTTAGTAAGTTACAGAAATGGTCCCTAATGTTTGCTCAGAATTACAGGTTTGGTCTACTCTTTGAATATTTTGGGTATGGGCAAGGGAATGCCTTTCTTTGTCTTCTTCATAGTTTGGGTAAAATCTCTTCGGCTTAAAGTTTTAAAAATTCTTAGGATCCATTACTAGAACTCTGATTAATATCCACACTACACTCATGTCTCATGTTCAAGTATTAATAATGCAAGAAGAGATTCACGTTGAGAGAGTTGTAACTTATGCAGTAAAGGTAGTACCTTGGGGGTGGGGTGGGTGAGGTGGGCTCTTTATATTTTTATATGTAAATAAAAATAATAAATGAGTTAAGAAAAAAAAATAAGAAATTAGAAAAGACAAGATAGTCATTTTACATTGATCATGGATCAAAACTGCAAGATTTGAAAACTACATGGATACAACGTATCAACTTTTTAAAAAATCAGACCATGTGATTTTGACTAGGTTGGACAATGTACCAATCTTGCACATTGCGGTTAGGACAAGAAATCGTACCCGGGAATATCACACCTTGGGTGTTGTTTAGGTGAATTGAAAGGTGATAAGTTTCTGAGTTTTGAATAATTAAATGAGAGTGAGGGAAATAAGGTGTCTTTGACTGTGTCACAGAAAAAATGAAATGTAAAATGTAGGTACATCTTTGGGTCTAAATCACAAAGATTATTATAATTTATTCGGATTTTTATTATCTTAAAAATCAATTTAAAAGATATTGGATTATTAATTTCTTTTAAATAATTTTTTTATTTCTCTTTAATGGATTAATTCTTTTTATTGGATTACTATATATTAAAAAATATTATTTATAAATATATAATATCTATATATTAATAAATATTACTTTATTGGATTATTAATTTCTTTTAGTTAATTTTTTTTAATTCACTTTTATTGGATTAATTCTTTTTTTTTTTGGACAACACCACCATCATCCTAATATGTTTTTAAAAAAATTCATCAATCTCACCACTATCAGACATAAACCGGGTCAAGAATCACATGTTGAGTTATATAAAAAAATTGCTAGAAAGAATAACACGTAACATCAACTTAAAAAAAATTACTTAATCGACATTCTATTTGGATTTTTATATGATTATTGTGTAATTTTGATTTTGTATGACGATTTGTATGTTTTTATAATTATTTAGCAACGTCATCCATCACAGTATAGAACATCAGGGTAATATTGTCATTTTTCATCATTTAGCACAGTCAATTAGATGTATAATCAAACAACATGGTTTCTTTCCCAATCAGAATACTTTCTCATACAGCACTTTCCCAGACAGCATTTTCCCGGACAGAAACTATCAAACGGGACATAAGGCTATGTTTGGTGTACTAGCTGAAAAGCTAATTGTTAAATAAAAAGATAGTTGATAGTTGAAAAGCTAGCTGATAAAAAATAACGTTTGGTAAAACTAGCTGAAAAACTAGCTAAGATATATAAAATTACATAAAAGGACATGTAGGAGTATGTGTTTCTATAATTAATTAAGGGGTGTATTTGGAAAATTTTAAAAAAGCTCCTAAAAAACTAGTCTAAGTAGCTTTTCAAAAAGCTAGCTTATAAGCTACTTTTTGACTTACCAAACACGACAATATAAAAAAAAACTCGAAAAATAAGCTACCTGTGGCGCGTCAAACACAACCTAAAACCTTTCAAAAATCTTATTTTTAGAGTTTATTGACAAAATAGATTTTATTAACAAGATATTAGTGTAGTTGGTGTATTAAAAGGAATCAAAAATAGTAAAAATGACAGGTTTTTCTGTCAAAGCTTATTTTACGGAAATAACTTTTATGATGGAGAATCTATAAATAGTTAATCATTTATATAGTTAGTTATTTTTTATCACATTCGTCTTCCACTGACTTCATTTAGAAAAAACTATATTTAAATTTCATCTCCGATACAAAATCATTTTTAACAATCATATATTTATCTCCGTATTTTTAAAATATTTTATAAAGTCCCATCTCATCTAATGTGTTGTTTTTTAACACACGTCGTGTTAGATATTGATCATGCATGTACTTTAAATAAATATAAGACATTTAAAAAAAGTTCAATTTTATTTTGTATATTTAACGAGTGAGTTTAATCAGTCAAATACAACAAGGTTTTAAAATTAAAATATAATTAAGGAGGTCAAACGAAAATATACTTAGACGAGGGGGTAACATGTCATAACACCATAAAGACTTAAGGGGGTTAAATGAAAAATACGTGGTTAAAGAAAATACCAAACAAAGTTTTACACTCCAATGAATCTCAATAAAGACGCTTTAAGTTTCAATCACTTAATCTGTTGTGTACATATGATTTCATTTTAAACCCTAATTGTATCTACATATTAAAAGTTTATTATTTTTTAACAACCTAATCTATTTCATTAGATACTCAAGTTAAAAATGAAATACATATTATATAGAAAAGTATATCATCAATGAAAAGTAATATTCATTTGAAAAATATAAACATATATTAGAAAAATAACAAACTAGATGAGTGGTTTTCATACATGATATGACAAAAACAATAAGTATTACAAAATTATTATTTAGTAACAATATTTTTTTAATATTTTATATTTGTTTCGTTTGAATGATTTTGAAGTACAAACGATCAACAAATAGACTATTTTGACAAAAATCCAGCTCAAATGGGGTCAATGTACATCATAGCTGAACAGAAGATAGGTCCCAAGAGTCCCAACATGTTACATATGTTTTCTCCATTTAAATTGTTGTTTACATGTTTTCATATGTTATATTAAAAAATGATGTTATCGATATACACAAAAATAAAACCATGACGTTTGCAAACTTATTTGGCTTACGTAAAAATATTCATATACAATTGCATATATCTAATGAAAACACTTTGAGATATAAGACCAAAAGTCATCTTCTTATAATACTATATAAATAAAATCTCTTATCACAGATTATAATATAAGCACAAACACATTAAAACATATATTACATCAAATAAAAAAATTCCAACTTATTATGCAAAGCCATGGTGGGCCCTACTGTAACTCCCCAACAGGTGCCTCGTTTAGCCATAGGAAATGAATAAAATCGTACAACTTTGCCGTTACACTAACCTGAAAAAAATAAATTAAAATAGAAAATAAAAAAATCATGCATTTTTAATTTAGTTTTTTTTTTTTTTTTTGAGTTTATTGTAAGTTTTCCAAATATATATTTAATTGCATAACATCACAAGTTTTCTAAATATTTTTTTATGTTATTTTATATTTTTCATCTAGCTTGTCAGCTAATTTTACAAAATGTTGTTACTTTATCAGCTGCCAACTATCAACTAGTCAGTCAAACACAACCTAAACATTAACATGTTTTCCATAAGTCTAACACTGTTTTATTTTTATAAAAAAAAAATTATATATTTTTTTGTTGATGACATGGCGCTGATGTGGCGGGTTTAGGAGAATACCTTGTAAGGTGTTGGATTGAGTCTTCTCATGTGATCGGGTCGCATTTGCTCCAATTGCTTCCCAACACGTTCCCTATTTTGCTCAAGTGTCGGCAATTCTTCTCTTTTTTTGTCTTCATATAAATAAAAAATATATATATTTTTTTAAGCCATGTTAAAATCGAGTATATGAAGTGCATTTTTTACAAAAAAAAAAAAAAAATATTGGGAAATAAAAAATTGTTACTTGTAGTTCCGGGCCAATAACACTTAAGAAGCTCCTCAACACGTTGTGGGACCACATAAGCTCTTTTTGATTCATTAAACGGGTGGCGACATAAAATTCTTTCTCCTACCTATAATTAATTAAATAAAAGAAAAATCATTAAACACTTTTAAAGGAATTTATAAATATTGTTAAAAAAAAAAAAAAAAAACGTAAATATTTACCTTTGGAGGTGGTTCGTTTTCGCCTGACATTATGTCTAAAAGGGCGTAACCTTCCTTTCCATATAATCTAAAAGATCGTTTTTTACATGGAATAGAGACCTATAAATAAATTTATTAATTTAATATCAGAATATTATCCAAAAAGAATTAATTAAAAAGAAATTTTCAATTTTCAATTTTCAAAACCTTTGAGACATCTTCTGAGAGCTTAATACGTGGCTGATTATTTATCTCAACAAGCTTAAAAACACAACCTAATGCAGCTTGAGCATAACACGTCACCAAATAGGTCCCAATTCCAAACGCATCCACCTCATGACCCTGAAAAAAAAAATTAATTTTAATTCTTTTTTAAGTTGAATGGAATGGAATGACTGATTCCGATGGAAAGACCGATTCCATTCCGATCCTTCTCTGATTCCGACATACCAAACACTACTTAAGAATTTAAAATATATAAAAAGCTTTGCCTGTTTGTTTAAAGCATCCAAAGTTTCTTCATTGAGGTCATTGCTAGCTGTGATTCCGGTCTTTCCAAACCCCGGAATTACAAATTCCGTTTCAATTGTTTGAAAGAATTTTCTTGTCTCACATGAAAGATAAGCAAGATCACCGGAATCCAACCGAATACCCCTTGCTTTATACCTATACAAATAAACACATCAATTAACATATTAATTATTATTATCATTTAACCTTTTGTATCATAAAATACAAAAAGACAAAAATACCCCAGATCATTTAGTGCTAGAGCCACTGCACAGAAGTTAGGAACACCACTCTTCATCACCTAGAAAAAGACAATAATACCCCAGATTATAATTAGTAATGTAAGCAAAAAATAATAAAAAAAACAATAATAATAATAACTTACATCATATGTGTCTACAAGAGCTAGAAAGTTATCAGGAAAGGCCAAAGCATATGAAATAAAAGCAGCTAATTCACTCTGATTAGTTTCACCAAAAACACCCTTCAATATACTTAGCCTCTGAAAACAAATATAAAAAATAGAGTTATTAAAAATATAACATATAATTATATAAATAATGAAAAATGAAAATTTCTTACTTTTATTTTGCTTAACCATGTCTGAGAAGCACCAACAAAATCCTCACATACTTGAGATCCATCATGACTTTTTAGAGACTTATCTATAATCTCATCAGTTCCCTACATTATAAAATTAATTAAAGAAACTAATAATTAAAAAAAATAAAAAAGTAAAAGTTATTTATAATACTTAATACTAACCATGAATGAGCTAACAAAAGCATGGGAATGTGTTCCACGAAGTGGTATTCCAAATATTTTTCCAGCTGCACAATTGCTAATATTTCACAATAAAAAAAAATATATATATATATAAGCTACAATGCTACATTGTTATTTGTTATATATTAATATATATAAACAATTTGAATATAATTAATATGGTCAACAGGATTAAATGATTAATCACCTTGTTGCATCAAATCCTCCCATGTAGCAATATCTTGATGCCCCTATACCACCATCTGGGCCCTAAGAAACAAGAACTTCTGTTAAACAAAAAGAGGGGTAAAATGGTCATTTACTGATATTATAACAATAACCTGTGCCCTTCGTAGTCCAAATTCAAGAAGAAGTTTGGATTTTCCAGCAACAAAACGATGTCTTGCAGCATTTGTGGTGACTAATGAGGCATAATTTATAAGATTCACATAAGGAGTTTCCAACAATTGAACAACCTGTAAGAAAACAGAATATAAATAAATGGATTTCAATTCATATTCTTGTCAAAAACTATCTTGTGGGGTAAATTGGTAAATAGTAAAATAGTTTGGTTGACTGATTGACTCACAGCCACTGGGCCTTCAACTCTCATCAGGGGTATTTTGGGAAAGACAACTGACCCTTCTGCAATTGCATACACTTCAACATCTGAACAATCAATTCCTTCAAGGTAATCAAAGAAGGCATCCTGATATCAACAGAAGAAAATTGACATCAATGAACAAATCTTTAAACTTGATTATGTTTTTATGAGGATCAAGTAAATCTGAATTGAAGCTTTACCTCACATGTAGGAGATAAACTTTCTCGAACAAAAGCAATCTCTTCCTTTGATAATTTAAAATTAGCAATGAATCTTATGCACTCTTCTAAACCAGCAAAAACTGTGTACTCACCACCAAAGGGATTTTTCCGAAAATATAAGTCAAACCTGAAACAAATCACAGATTGCAGAAAGTTCCCAAATTATTTCCAAAATTACATGCCCTAAAGCCAGTGTAACCAATCTAATTAGTTTCTTCAGTCCATGATTACGGAATCAATCAATTCCATCTAGAAACAAACAAATCACAAGGAATTGAGAAACTAACACAGCTCGTTCTTTATGCTTTCCAGCTTTCCAGTATGCGTAAGCCATGGTGAACTGATAGAGATCGTTGAGCAGCGGCGTAACCATAGGATTAGTGGGACCATCGATTACCGGCGGCGGACGATTATGTTTCTCCTCTTTAACGCCACCGTTAACTTCAGGTTTTACGTCCATTCTATGTATGTTGCTTGCTCAATCAAGATGAAAAAAGTTGTATAGACTTCCTAATTTTCGTCCCCTTATCTATATATGTGTGTATGAGCGAGAATCAAAGCAGGATGTGTGTGCGCTCGTGTTTCAGATAGATAGGGGCCAATGGAATCAACAAAGAGGGGAAAGAAAAGGACGGAAACGGCGGAGGTCGGCAGCTGGTGGCGGCGTCGTCGCCGAAGTGGGGTTGTGTCGTTATTCTATATTCTTCACTAGCGAGTCGTGAATTTTGTCTTGTTGAAACAAACTTTTTCTGTTGGGGATATTTTCGATAGTCAACCTTTTTTTTTTTTTTTTGGTAATTATTAAGATTATATTTGTAACAATTATATAAAAACAAAATATAGATTTTAGTTTAGGATTATTTATTTCATTTCATAAACTATGACATATTTATTTTATTTATTATGAAGTGGACCTGATAATGGAGTGGGTTTGGAACGGATCAGCCTTGATCTAAACCGACCTGTAACTGTAACCTGCAAGGTTTTGAATAATTAAACGCATAATTTTATCCATCGGATTAACGAATTTTCAACCCTTTTACCCGGTCCATTTACAATATTAAGATTAGGCTATAATTATACATTACAACGCAGACAACATTCATTCCAAAACAAACTTCAATTTTAGCTTAGCAAATAACGTTTCAAAAACAAAACAAATGTCTATTATTGCAAACATGCATGAGAAAATGTAGACATCAAAATGCATCTTCAAAAAACCTAAAGTCCAACTGATCTACTCACTCACTAATCACCTGGAAAAAAAAGTAAGCACATATAAGCAGTTTCGTAAAACTCGTCGAGTTAGCCGATTACTCAGCCGAGTACTCCCTACTCGGCCCCTTACCAAGGCGAGTTATAGAATCTGAGTACTCCCCGATCGGCCCACTAATGAAGCGAGTAGTGTTGTAAAACTCAGCCAACTCGGTGATTAATATGTATACTATACGTAATAATTTATTATTTAACACACACACGTGTGATTATTACTACATGTATATATTAAATTTTCATAAATTATTCACGAAGTGAGACCATTGTATGTTTTTCAGTTTTTGTGTATTCACATGTATATAATTTTGTTATACATTTCAATCAACTTATGATTTTAACTTATGATTTTTACATATATAATCTCCCTAAAAATATTTTACATGAATTACCGAATCCGAGTACTCCTAAGTACTCCTGAGTACTCCCGAGTACTCGCTACTCGACAGTCGGCCGAACAGGTACCGAGTAGCGATACAACCTTACATATAAGTATATATTAAATTATTTCATGTAAAAATTTAAGTGACTTCTAGAGTTAAAGCAATATATTTTTTGTTTCCTTGAAGAACGGATCGAATCGATAGTGATCCATACATAACCCTTTCAATAAAAGGGTTAACGTGTATGTAACGTCCCAAATATTCATAGTAAAATTGTTATTTTTAAAACAATAATACATACAAATGATGTCGTTCCAAAACCAATTAAGGTGAATATATTATATAAACATCAGAGTAAATATCATAAATTGCTAAAGCGGAAAACTCTAGGGGATGTTGTGCAGTCACGTCGGGCCATTTCCTTTCGAACCGGAAGTACCTGAAACCAAAAACATAAGTCGTAAGCACAAAGCTTAGTGAGTACCCCAAAATAACACATACCATACATATCATTGGGTTTAACCCTGGGGTATAGTCCAATACAATAAGCATATACGGGCCCCGCCCTGGGTATATTTCAACCCAATAAACAAATATGGAATGTGTGTAACATCCTGTTCCGAATCGATTCCTAGTCTAAGACTGAGGCCTGAAGATCGGTCATCATAAGGATTAGGGCTTTTGAAAAGGTAAGATCTATGCCCATTTGGGTGCGGGTGATGTATTAGAAGTGATCTGGGTGTTTGGTTCGTGTTTCGGAGCCTAGGGGTATTTCGGTAAAGTGTCAGTTCGGGCTTTTGTGAAAAATGGACTCTTGTTCGTAAGGTCTTAAGAAAGTTATGAGTTGATAGAAGTGTAGGGCTTCTCGTCACCTTTCCGTGGATATAAGGATCATCGGAATCGGGCTTATAACGAAGAAGTTATGGCCTTCGGAAGTTTCGTGGGTTTCAGGCTTAGCCGAGTACGCGGGACGTACTAGTGAAGAAGGCAGTACGCGGGGCGTATCTTGGAGTACGCTGGGCGTACTGACCAGGATGATTGCGAATATTCCTCGGAGTACGCTGGGCGTACCATATGTACGTTGGGCGTACGCCAGTCAGATCAGAACCTTATTTTAGGGTCTTGGACCCTATTTAAGCTCCTTATCTCATAACCTAACCCTAATATCTTCAGCCTCCATCCCTCTAAACCCTAGAAATTGACCCTTAGCCCTCATTTGAGTGATTTTGGAGCTTGGATGGCCATTAGAGGAGTATTTTGGTGCTTTTGAAGAAGGTGTTCATTCTTGAAGAATTATTGAAGAAGATAGAGCTTTTAGATCCAGAACTACACTAACTTTTGGCTCTCATTTGAGGTATAAAGTCTTAAACTTGGTGTTTATTTCCTTAGATCTCTTATGTTGAGTTTTTGGACCTTTTTGGTCCCAAGGATGAAGCTTTATGGTTCAAATCCGATTCTTAGGCTTAGGGTTGCCACCCTTGGTGCTATTTGAGTCCCTAAGACAGAAAGTTGCCATCTTGAAGGTCTTAATGGATTCATGCAAGAGTTAAGACCATTTTTATGGAAGTAGAATGCTATTTGGTCTTTCTGGAGCATGCAAAGGCATAAAGTTGCCATCTTTATGCCTTAGGACTCATCAAACAACCTAGATCTGAGTTTGGGACGTAAAGTCTTCAAGTATTAAGCACTTAATGGATTTTGTGCATAAGCTATTGTACGTCGGGCGTACTATGTAGTACGTTGTGCGTACAACCCTTTTTCCCATTACGCTAAGCGTACAGAAGAGGTACAATGGGCGTACGCTCTCAGAAGGACTTGGGCCTTAGTGGACTTCGGACCTTTGGGCCCTAATGGTTTTGGGCCTGGATTGCTAATAGTTGGGCCTGAATGCATATTTGGGCCGATATTGGAATAGTTGGGCCTATTGGGCCTTGTGACCCAATACAAAAATGGACTTCGCATTTGTGGGCCTCGGTTTGGGCAAATTATTGGACTAGGTTACTGTGGGCCTTCGTGGGCCAATTGGAAACTTGATTATGGACTAGAGAAGCATTATTGGGCCTTAGGTTGAGGCCCATGTGAAGGTATTGGGCCCAATTGGAAATTGGGCCACATATTTGGCTTTGTAGGAGTGTTTATCTTTAGTGGGCCCAATGGGCTTGGTCCTTGGGCCATCGAAGAATTATTATTGGAATGCTAAGTGTGTTGGACTGAAAATAATGATTGGGCCTCATGGCAAGACCCATGTAGATATTGGGCCCAATTTGGAAAATTGGGCCATTGATGGATTTATGGACATTATAGTGTTGGGCTTTTTATTTTGGGTTTGGGCCTTAGTTTTGGTGATACTAGGCCAGGGGTAGAATGGTCATTTTTACCCCATGCATGGATTAAGGATTATGGTATGGCATCCAACTACTAATTGGGTATATTGATCAGTATTGATAGCTCAGGAAGTGGACAGGGCAGCAGCTAAGGATTTCTTTCAGGAAGCTTCTGCATTCGAGGTGAGTCTCCTCACCATACCAATGGGTCTAAGGCACCAAGGCCGGCCCATTTTATGATATGTGGTACACTAGCTGAGGTTATATTATGAGGCATGATAGTTGGTTATGTGCTAGGAAGTATGCTAGTTGTATATGTGGTATGCTGGTATGGAAGACCATGGGAGAGCCCATGGCACTTGGATATAAGACCATGTGGAGATCCCATGGCTTTCCTACCAAAGACCATGGGAGAGCCCATGGCAACCGGATGTAAGAACATGTGGAGAGCCCATGGCTTTCCTATTAAAGACCATGGGAGAGGAGCCCATGGCATCCTAGAGTAAGACCCTGGGAGAGCCCACAGCATCCCCATATGTTTATATGCATGGATTATGCAATTGATATGGTTTATGTAGCTTTTATAGCTAATATGGATTATGTGGTTATGTGGATTGTGTGGGGTATGCTCTGGGGAACTCACTAAGCTTCGTGCTTACAGTTTTGTTTATTGTTTCAGGTATCATCGGTTTGGAAAGGAAGGGACCGACTTGATCGCAACGCACACACCCGTGTTTTCCGTAATATGTGATTTTGGGACGAACTCTGATAAATGTTTTAATTAACAATGTTTTGGAATGTTTGGAATAAATGATATCTATGTTTTGGCTATATTAAAAATGAAATTTTTACCTTGATTTTTGGGTCGTTACAAGCTGGTATCAGAGCCTTGGTTTGAGGGATTGAGACATACTTTCGGGTATGTCTGAACTCAAACTGAGGATCTGTAAAGTTTTCAAAAAGAAAAATGTTTTCAAGGAAAAAGTTTTCTAGGACAAGAAAAGGTGTGGTGCATGCAATCAGCCGAGCTCAAGTAAGTTTCCCCGGAATACCCATATTTGTTATCTGTTATGATTTGATTATGAATATGTGTATCGCATTCTAGTTAGGGCTAGGGGAGATGCCTTTATATGTTGTATGAGCTGGTAGACTTGCATGCTAGTGTTGAGTATTCAGTGATAGATTGGTCTGATATGTGGTGCTTGTAGCATTGGGAATATGAGATGCCATGCTAGAATGAAAATGATTATTGGTATTAGTAACTTCTTAGTGTATGCTTTTAAAATTGTATACGGTTAGGATCTTATAGCCTTAGAATAATTGATTTGGCCTTATATCTTGTTTTGTGTATAATTTGCATGCATAGGCAGCCAGCAGCAAGGATGGATGGATGTGGACATCATGGGTTGTGGTATGTGGGCCGAATGTTTTATGATAATTCATGGGTCAGAGATTACCCTAGGATAAGCCTAGGATGAGACTAGTGACAGGAGTCACCTGATTGCGAATTTTATGTGTGGATAGGATTGCGTGATTGGAGTGTGTTGGTTACTTTTCCGTTGTCTGAATGCTGCTTGCTTTGTGCTTTGTAGGACTCTTAGCAATGTGAGTTAGCTACTATGTGAATATGCTAAGTAACATGTAGCACAAGATGGATAATCTCAGAGTGATGGACTTGACCCTATTGCGCAGCTCTTGTATGAGTCCAACCGTTCTAGGGATGAGTCTTTTACTTAAAGGATTATATGATCTCTGCTACATGTGGCTATATTCATGA